GGGGCAGGAGAGCCGGGCAGCTGGAGGGCTTCTAGAAAGCTCCCCCAGCCTCCAGCCCCGGGCAGGTGCTGGGGGGCGCCCGCCCTGCCAGGACAGCGCGCCGCAGAAGGGCCGGGCCTCGAGGGAGGTCTCCGCAGAGGCGGCCGGCGCTGGACTCGGCGGGCTCCTGTTCACAGCCCCTTCCAGCCCTCTTTCTGGCAGGAGGCCGTCCCTGGGGCGCTGGGGCCCTCCCCGTGGCACCCCCACTCGGGGGATGAGCCCAACCCGGCTGCCGGATCTGGATAGTCTGTAGGGGGTTCAGTGGCAGGCAGGCCGGTGTGTCGGCGCAGGGGGACACTCGGTGTCCCCCACGCGGGGGCTGGCGGTGCCACTCGTCCTCGCCAGATCGACGGTCCTGGGGCTTCGAGCCTGTCTCTTGTCCTTGAGGTGGTGCTGAGGCTCTGACTGGTGTGGCCGCTGTGGGGACTGCCTGGCGGGGGGCCCCGGGCCAGTTGCCGAGGCTGTTCTCCACTGGCCTCTGAGGGGGGCCAGTGCCACGCTGCGCCCTGGGGTGCAGGCCCGCAGGCCCAGGCCCAGAGCAAAGGATCCCTGGGGCGCTGCCTGGGCTCAGCGTAGGGTGGCCAGCGGCTCTGGCTGGTGGCAGGCTCTGCCCACAGGAGGGAGGGAGCTAGCCGGGCAGGGCTGGAGGCCGGCCTCCTGGGAGTGACTTTCTGTGATCAAGAGAGGGGCCGGGCCCATGGCGGGCAGCCCGCCCGGTGGGCCATTTCAGGGGCAGCATGGAGGCCAGAAGCATCCCCACCTTTGGGAGAAAGGCCCAGTGGGACACTGCGGGGGACCTGGGCCTCCCATCCAGACTCAGGTCTTCTGCCAGGCGGCTCTAGCCAGTGTTCCACCCACGGGCTGGACCAGACCTGGGGCACAGTGTCACAGCGAGTCCACCAGGGGACGCCCATTGCCCCTCTCAGTGTGGCTGAGAGCCTGGGCCTTGCTGGCCACCGATGAGGAGGCCGGCACAGCCCCTGGGCGCCGCCTGGCCTGTCGGATGCGGGCGCTGCTGGCAACCCCCCTTCCAGAGGCTCTGGTTCCCACCGAGGGGCGGCGGGCACGGAAATGCTGGGGTCCCCTGTGCCTGGCCCACGCTGCTTATCCCACAGCAGGGAGTGGCCGGCGGCGGGCCGGGATTCCATAGCGAGCCAGCCCCAGGGCAGGGTCCAGGCGCCAGCCCCTCCGCAGCAAGGCCGCCTGGGTGGGCGCCCCCTCTGCTGGCCCAGCTGGGGGGCTCGCAGCCGGCCTCCAGCCTGGATTGCCCAGCCGGGCAGGGGGACCTCTGCGAGCCCCGGCCGCCTTGCCCCTCCGTCCTTCCTGCTCCGCAGCTGCGTCCTTCCGCCATTTACCCTACACGGCCACCTTTGGCAGGGACAGTAGGTTCGGGTCCTGCTCTGGACTCCTGTCCGCTGCTGGGTACAGGGCAGTCAGCAGGGGCAGTGCGGCCGCGCTCGCGGTCACCCCCCCTTTTGCCTCCTGCCCATCAGGTCCTGGGGATTCGGGGCCAAGGCTCGTGCCCGGTCCTCGCCCCTTCAAGTCCGGCCGGCCG